CACAATTTACTCATCAGAAATGCAAACTGATCAAATCATCAAATGCAAACTGATACTTGTACTCGCAGCTCTCTAACAATTTGCCTACTTTGAATGCTGGTTTGGTATTATGACAGAATTTTTTTTCTGATGCTCCCTAATGCAGTTGTCTATAGCCTGCACCCTGGTACCTCAGCTCTAAAACTGGAATACAGCTTTAAAAGAGCTCCTCCAGAAAAAGCCATAAGGATCTTTTTTATAAAGTAAAACATGGCAGGCTGCATGTAGCACAGAAGAAATTTTCATCTAAACAGCACTAGTGAGAACCTCAAACACTAGAAAATAACTTGCACAGTACTTAGAAGATGATACAAAAACCCCTTGCATTTGGTTTCCTGCGAGGCAGATCACCACATTTCAATACTAGCACAACTTGGCTTCAAGTTGTGGGGGTTTTTTAAATAAGTCTATTGCAAAGAAGCAAATTCCGTGCAAGTGGCTGCGGGTTCGGCAGGCGTGCCTTTCAGGTTGGAGCAGTGCTGTGCACATGCAGCTGTCCTGGTTCTGAACTCGAGCCCCAAAGCTCTGCCACGCTGCTCTTCAGACCTAATGGAAAGCCCGGCTTTGTCACCCGGCTCGCAGTGTCACATGCAGGATTCTCATCTCCAAACCTGCCCACGCTCACCCGCAGTCTCACCTGGCTCCATAAGCTCTGCTGACTGCTCAGCTATCAGTGGCTTTCTCAGTGGCAACGTCAATTTTTCAGCTACCAGTCATCCCTTTTCTAAGATGCTGTCTGGATGAGCATTGAGAAATTTCTGTTCTGCTCTTGAATTTGGATGAATTGAAAAGCATGTGCAGATGTTGTTAGGGCATAAAAGAGCGTGATCCCATCACCCTCCCCTACTTAGGAAACCACACTTTTAAAGAGAAAAAGAAAGCATTACTCTTGGGGCTTCAGAAAGGAATAAAAACCTGCCAGTTTTTCTTCCTTTTTGCAAGTATCCTTGGTGACCTCATTGTATTATCTCCTGACTGCTTAGCTCAAATTCAGGAGAATATTCAGAGTGACTGTTTTTGTGCATATAGTGAAAATCTTGCAAAATGGCCATGCCAGGTTACTACCCCCTCAGAAGTATGTGGTTCCGAGAAGACTAGATGTTTGTATTCCTGCCACAGTCAAGATCATACCCAGAGCCATCATCTGCAGGCATATAGAGTCTTAAAACAACAACAAAAAGCCTCACACAAGCCCAAGCTTTGTTCTGTTTCTATTTAGATGCTTGTTTGGACAGACTGAGGGCACAGGTCATTAGTTATATACACTGGTTAATGCATTTTATTTTATATTTTATATAAAACACTTAGCATTAACAAAATAACACTTTTTTTCTCAGCATCTTCAAGCTAATGCCTTTCTGTATTCCTGCAGTCCATGAGTTAACTCCTGCTTCCAAGGCAAAAAGGCTCCCTCAGCGTGTGCTGAGAACACACACATCTGGGGCCCCCCATTTCACCAGGCCGAACACTCTCTGCGATAAAACTCTTTAAAATCCTTGACATCAGGGATGAATCATGCCTCTTGTGGACGAGCTACAAGTGGAACTGGTCCTTCAGTACTAACACATTTTAACGAACGGCGATAAAATAGGAGCCAACAAGTTAGAAAAACCTCTCCTGAAAACACTCATTGCTCCAACATTCCACAGGCAGCGCAACAAAACATACAGAGCACTTTGACAATGGCTGCAAGCTTTTAGTACAAAACTCAGTTGACCTTGTAATTGTACTTTGAACTGCTCAACTCATACTGTAATAAGATGGTTAACTAGTTATACGGTGACTAATCATGGGGCTATATTGCATAGTTTAAAGGATGTTACATTGGAAGAAGTTTTGTTAGATTAAGAATGAAAAAAAAAAAGCAATAAACATTTCGTGAAAAATACAGGGTAACTTATACATTAGCTATATTTAAAAATAAGATTTTGAATAGTACATGAGAGCAGCTTGAATTTTACCAGGCAGTAACAGTGTTCCCTGGAAGAAGTGCTGTTAGCTTAGAAAGACCTCAGCAAGTAGTAAAAATCATCATAGAATAGAATCATCATAGAATGTGTTGGGCTGGAAGGAACCTTTAAAGGTCACCTAGCACAACCCCCCCGCAGGGAGCAGGGACATCTTGAACTAGATCAGGTTGCTCAGAGCCCCATCAAGCCTGACCCTGAATGCCTCCAGGGATGGGGCCTCCACCACCTCTCTGGGCAACTTGTTCCAGTGTTTCACCATATTCATAGTAAAGAGCTTTTTTCTAACATCTAATCTAAATCTGCCCTGCTCTAGTTTAAAACCATTGCCCCTTGTCCTGTCACTACACAGCCTTGTGAACAGTCTCTCCCCAGCTTTTCTGTAGCCCCGCCAGGTACTGTCTTCATAAATGGCAAATTCAAATTTCTTAGTACAGGCTTCAAAAAAAAGGCATCAGAAATGCAAACCTGTGTGATTCATTTAAACCTCAAACATTGAGGTCTGAGGGTTGAGTTTTGCAGGGGCTGAAGCCATTATTATCACATTGTGGTTTGAACCAAACTAACAGCTTGCTGCTGCCGAAACAGGGCCGTTTGGCTTCCTTGTCTTACAATCCCTCCCGGCTTCAGAGCGCTTGCTTTAGCCGCTCTCTTTGATGTGGTGCTGACATGCACTTGGGCAATCTCGGTTCTGGCTCTGCCAGAGACCGTCTTTGTTCCTAGCCCTCCGTGTGCTTAGGCAAAAACATGGGGAAACTTGATGACACGATTCATCTAGCTCCAGCTGTCCGCTGCCACTGTCCAAACAGCATCCAAACAGAAAACTCGGAGTTTCCGCATGCATAGAATTACTGGGTCAGCTTAAGGTTAAATTGTTCTAAGATAATGAAGGGCTTTTAGTTTCCCAATACTCCCTGGGCATGACAAAAAATGGTTTGGGTTTGTATTAAAATAGCTGGTCATTTACAGAAGTGTTAGTTTCTTTACTTAGCTAGCAGAGGCAATGCCCATGGTTCCTTGACAGTGTTTGTTTTAGGAAGTTCCATGCAAGACAAGAACTCTGCAAAGCATTACAGAAATATCCTGTCCTTCCCTTGACAAACAGATCATTCTTTCATCACACAACCAATCTAGAGTACTCTTCAGCACTTTCATTTAGCGTCTAGGCTTCAGATACATCCTAGGAGTATCAGAAAGCAAGGCTCAACCAGAAAAAAAAAAAAAGAGAGAACAAAAATAATAAACTCCATAGTTAAATTCTGGAACTCACTGTGATGAGATTTGGCAGAGACTAGTAAAAGGACTAAAACTATCTGGACAAACTGGTAGAAAAGAGACATATTGGTAACTAGGACAGAAAGACCCAAGCGTAGGTTTTAGTGCTCTGTCAGAAATTATATCATGGAATGGAGCAGCATTATTTGTGTGTGTGTAGCCATACACACATATGTACATTCCAGACTTTTCTTGTATAGGTGCCTCTGTGTGTGTGTTACTTTAATAGTACCAGGTCCTTATGAAGGGAGTTTAAAAGAAGAAAAAAAAGCATGCTGAACTGACCGACTGTTGGTCTTTATCTTAGCGTGGCAGTTTTGACAGTGTGTATGCGCAGTTTGTTAAACCTAAAATACAAAGGAAAACATTTGATCACCAGAAGTTTCCCCTCTATAAAGGGAGAGAAAACTTTGCCTGAGTTAATAAAAATACTCTGTGCAATAATAGTGAAGATACAGTCTGTAGAAAAACAAAGATAGATTTAGCCGAACTCAAGATGAACCCTTCAGTACTATTACTAGCAGAATGTGTTGCCTAGCTGCCTTTGAGACTATAAACTCAATGCCAGCAAAACAGCCCCCGTCACCAATTGAGACTAATTTTAAGTAAACTGGATGAAGAGATGCATTTCTTCTGTCATCTTTTCCCCAAAGCAACACCTAAGTTACCTTGATTAATTATGGTTACAGACCTGTTACCTCCAAGTAGTGACATCACAATCAGTTACCATACATTCGTTTTTTTATCAAACAGATCAAGAATAGATGGCTGATGAAGGGAGACAGCTAGCATAAAAATGAAAACACACAGTACCTCAGAGCTTATAAATAAACAGCCTTTAAGGTTATAAAAGATCTGACACTGAATAAGTAATATCTACACTTCATAGTGTCTATGAAGTGCTCTGCAAAAGCTAAATTTTACTTTTGGCTTGGCACCAAAAGAACCTGTGGCTTGCCAAGGACTCGGTGTAGAGGAAAACTCTACACTGCTACTGTGGGAGAGAAAGAGACACAGAATTACTGAACAGAAGAGCATAGACATCACAACTAGTAGCCATGAGTCATAAAAAGATGTAGTATCCCAAGACTGATAGTTAGCTGAGACTGACCGAAAGACATGCATCGGCCTACATCAAGTTCAGATTATCTTTGCCGCTCCTAGGAGAATGAATTTCTACCCTCCATCAGAATTGAAGGAATGCCAGTATGCCTTCCCTTACCTGTAACCAAAGACACCTGTACCCTAATTTAATGCCAAAGTTAGCAATTTTAAACTACAGATGTAGCTCTCCATAGGGCTTTATGTTTTAAAATTTTATTCTCTGTGTTGTGCAACAAATTTCAACAGATTTCAGTACTTACAAATGGGCTTCCTGCAATAAGTAACTCACTGGGAAAAAAAAAGCCATTACCAAGGTATCCTGCCTATGCCCAGTAAGGGAGAATGAGCTGGGAGGGGCAAAATAGCCTTTTGCACAATAAACTTATTTTTTCAATGTGGTTTGTCTAATACAGATCAAAAGCTATTCTAAGAAAATATTTATAATGGACCTCAAAGAAATAGACCTTATTGAGACTGTCCTGGATTAGTTCTCCGACCCTTTCATTACTTTTCATTGGTTTGGGGTGGTTTTTTGCTTTTGTTTTGCTTATGATTTAGGGTAAAAGCCTGTAACTGAAATTTTTTTTTCGTCCTTTTTTTTTTTTTTCCTTTTAGCCTGGAAGAGTTGTGACTCTGGTTGAAGACCCTGAGGTATAGTACCCCTCTTCTGTCTCTGTAATGTACAGAATGTCCTGTTGCATTCCCAGCCTGTGCAGTGAGTCTCTATTACCATTTTTTTGCTTCTCTATAAGCAAATCATTGAGTTCTCTTTAGTGCAGTTAAAAGTTTTCTCAACATTTCTTGGAGTTACACCAATGATTTTGATTTTTTCAAATAAATCAATCAGTCTAAACTAATAAACTGGAAGCTTGGGTCTCTTATTACCAAAAGTATATTTTGAAGTATTTTCTGGAAGAGTCTGCTTGTAAGACGGAGAATTTAACTTTTAGCATACATACAGGGCTGACGATACACCAACAGTAGACCCCAGATGTTGTCAGAAATGTAATCTTGCTCTCCCCCAAGTAAAAACTGAAACCAACCAAGATCACATTGCAGTGACAAAAAAGGAGACACCCTCACTTTATTTTTTTTGCTACACAGATCAAATGCTTAAGGAATTAAATGCCACAACTGTGCTTTTGGTTTCTACATAATACTGTGAAATTACCTCCTGTTTAGAGCTGCCACAAGTCTACAATTCTTGCTTATCTTTTGACCTTTTCCCTAAGGCTCACACAGTGCAGTGGAATTGTTTGCAAGAGGTGTGCCCAGGCTGGGGAGGGAGGGGAGATGAAACAAGGCCTAGGCTTACACTCACGTAAGCTGTAGGAAAAATCGAGATTTTTCTGCTTATAGAAGTACTTGGACTAACATCTGACCCATCTCTAATCCTGCTTAAGAGTGAAGAAGCTATCTTACAACTGCCCACAACACTCCAGGCCCCCCACACCCAGCAGCACGCTCTGTTCTGGCACTTTGCTGGGGACAGCTGCGATGGCCATGTCCATCCAGCTCCACAGGGCTCTGGGAGAGGGAATCCTCGCGGGTACCCGAGCCTACAGAGGCGGGAGGGGAGGGAGAATGGCAGGGAAGCAGAGGGAGAGCAAAGCCATGCAACACAAGGCCATAAAACAGAGAGGATGGGAACTTTGGTAGTAGTTTTATTTACAGTTGCTTCTCTATGCAATCAGGACATTCCTGTCTTACCAGTCTGTTTCCCTGAAATAGCAGCCACAACGAGAGGCGAGTTCTGCAATAATCAAAAACTTCAACTGGTTTTTGCAGTTAGCAAAACCAGCAAAATGCAGCACACTGCCTCTCATTGTGATTTTCTGTACCTTTCTAGTAAGGGTTTTTTCACATTACTGTACTGCTGGGTACCATTCTGTCACACAGATGCCTATAGTGACAAAGAAGGCTTATGTTTGTTGTCACTCAGTTTGTATTGTTCAGCAAACTTACTCGTTACCATAGAAACTTCTTTACCTTAGCAAACCAGTTTCATTTGGTTGGGTTCTCCTTTTCTCGAGATTCTGGTGTGGCCAGATAATCATCCTTTACACAGAAATATCAAATGAAATGTCATTTGCTTTCATTTCAGTTACTCATTCTGTAGTTTAAAAAGGTAACCTTATGTTTAAGGTATCTTAACAGACTTCAGCAATTATTCCCCTGCACAGACACACCAAATACCGCGGTGACAACGGCAGTGGTACCTTCACTGGCCGCACCAGCTCTCAGTTCTGTGCCTGCCTGTGTGTCCTTCACTAGTCATACACATAGTGCAGCTTGGAAACATCTAATTTAGGGAGTTAGTTTTACTTGTTCCATCTGAATTTCTTTGCCTGTTAAGAGGAAATCACATATAACCATCATCATCATCACACTCCTTGACAGATTTCTGGATTGTAGTTTTCCATCTGATACAGGAATCCTCTATACTGAAAACCAGATTGACTCGCAGAAACACTTAAAGTATCTGCTTCAAGTCCCTATCTCCACCACACCCATAAATACATTTTCCTGTCCACACTAAAGTAAGTCTGAATGGCAGATTTAACTCAAGAGAGTAACTTTTAAAAACAGCCTCTTTCTGTGAAAGTTAGCAAGTTTCCTCCAGACAGTTGGGGTGAACCCACGTCCCAGATGCCTGAGGGAAAGCAAGGAACCCGGTTTGGTAATCTTTAGTGTTTTTCCTGGCCACACCACATCAAATACTGTAACCTTCTACAGAGGATGCAATGGATAATGACTCCTGATTTTTTTTTAATAAAATGCCTTTGACTAGCGTGTGGTTTGACTGCAAAATTCAATGCTCATGAGTTACTGCATCATCTGATACCATAATTAAATACTAAGATCCAGTTTTGGCGGGGGGGGGGATCAACCAAAACACAGTGTGAATTGCTTTGTCATCACTGCTGAAGCACCGATACATATACCAACTTAACTGCAGGAAGAATCCATGTTTGATGTTGCCAGTAAACAAAACATACTAATATTTAGTTTAAAACAGCACTTGTAAGAAACACTTTGTAGCCTTTAGTGGATAGCAGGCCATCATTATTTTTCTGTGCTCTTCAAAACAAAAAAACCCATGCCAGTCTATAATCTCACAGACTTTGTTTCTATAAAGTTTGGTAGGAGAGTATAACTAATTCACACCACAGTTAAATAGTTTCCCAGAGACATCATCTGTTGAAGAGGATGAAGACATATTCAGATTCTAAAAGACAGTAATGAAATTTATCCTAATTGTTTGCTGAGGTGCTGGATACACCACATCTGATTGTGCAAAATGAAGGTTCATCTTTCAGCTTCTTGTTCTCTTGACACAGTTTTTTTAGTGCAGTTACCACACCCATCCCTCCAACTACGTGTAACACATGTATGTGATGCTCAGGTCCTTAGAAATTACACTGCAACTAAACAGAGAAAGGCCTTGATCAAAATTACTTTGAATTTGGCATTATTTAAAAACTTAATTTCCAAATACAAATTTTGTGAGGTCAGGAAGATGCTTTGTGTCTTTTTTGCTAGCTCATGCCAAGACTATCAGCCACTTCGAACTTAACTGCAGCAAAACTTACTGTTTTATAAGAAAGGCCTCAGCATTAGCAAGAAAGTGGATGATCAATCTGCATAAATACCATTTTGACTGAAGATTTCCTAAATAGAGCAACCCTTTTAATTTGGCACTCCTACAAGCAGTGTGAGAAATATCTATTAAAAGACTGAAAATTAAAGAGGGTTTTTTTTTTCAAGAGAGTTTTGCCTAAATGCGATAGAAATTCATTAATTTCTGAGTTTCTTTATAAACACTGCTTGGATTTTCTTATATCCTTCCACAGGGCTGCGTAGGGGGTGTTGCTTACAGACTGCCAGCTGGACAAGAAGGTGAAGTAAAGGCATACCTGGACTTCAGAGAAAAAGGAGGCTACAGGACCACAACTGTCATTTTCTACCCAAAAGACTCGGCAGTAGAACCTTTTGATGTGTTGTTATACATTGGAACCTGTGACAATCCCAACTACCTTGGTCCAGCACCTTTAGAAGAAATTGCTGAACAGATTTTTAATGCAGTTGGTCCCAGTGGCAGAAACACCGAATACCTGTTTGAACTTGCTAATTCTATCAGAAATCTCGTACCAGAAGATGTAGATGAGCATCTCTTCTCCTTAGAGAAACTAGTAAAGGAACTCTTGGAAAAGCATCAAAACCTAAATTGTCTATAAGATAACTCACTTTCAATGATCTTGCTTCATCTTCAGAGGAATGGTTTAGTTGCACAATGGGTATATGACTCGGAGGCATATTTCGCTGTACTCTGCTATTTTATTTAATATTGCATTCAACATAGAAGTTGGTCATTAAAACATACCATCAGAAATACCATTCTTTCAGAAGTCTATAGAAAGAGGAGCAGGGGAAGTGTTTTAGGTTTGAATTTGATATATCGACTTTTTATCCAAAGACTATTCTCAAGAGAACCACTTAAGCTTTTAGTTTGTCCTTAAACGCAGAGGTTAAGCATTTCATTGTCAAGGAAATCATTCTTTCCCTTGGCTCATCATGTCAGGCCCTTGAAAACCAAAGCACAGAGTACTTTGACACAAACAAGTCATAGCGCATCAGTGCCTCCTTTTGTTTTTTAAGATTAATATAAAGAATAAAGCCAAAACGTTAAACTTAAGAGCATGACTTGAAATCACGATGCAGCAAGAATGTTCAGAAACGCTTATCTGTGTTATTTGTTGTAACCTCATCTCTTAAAAAATTTACCTATCTCTGAGGATAGATTTTTTAAGCCAGTAATTTTCAACCACTGTGTCAGGGATTCGCAGACAAAAGATAATTAAGAAAGGAGCCCTCTCTTCAGTAACCTGATATGTGTTCTACCCACATCCAAACTAAGAGGGTCAGAAAGCCACTGGTTTGGGCTAGTCGGTGTGTTTTAAGCAAAACATAAATTTCCGTCCCAAGAAGAACTCATCTTGCTTCTCAAACATTTACGTTATTTTTGTTAACTTCTAACAAAGTGTATTCTTCTACGTTAACATAGGAAAGGCTCCATTTCAAATACCATATAATGTCATGTTTTCTCATACAGAGAATGTGTAAGTGTTCAGTAGTAGTTCGGATTTTTTGCGTAATTTTGCATAATTGCAAATCCCATACTTTTCTCCTTTCTCTACATTTCCCTTTTCTTTTCTCTACATTTTCCTGTTTTATAATTGCTTTAAAATGTCAGAGTTATCAAAGTATCAAGCTACTATTACTTTACTCAGCCACCTACAAAAGCCAACAAGAACACAAATAAATGTTAATAGGAAACATTTGAGAAAGGCAGCTAGGTGAGTAGAAAATAGGATAATAAAATTCAAGATAATTAGACCACTTAAAATATTTAACCAAGAAAGCTGTATTTTTTAACATACCAGATTATAATTTTAGTGTGCCTCTGGCATCTTCTCAAGCGTTGATTCACTGAGTGGAAAAAAAAAGAGTTTTAAGAAGCTACTGTTTACTATTAATAGTTGGATGCCACTATTTTCAGAGTACATGATGGGTTATCACTTGATGGACTACTCTAAACTACAGAAGCAAATCCTCTGAACATATTAGCAAAATAATCACATGTATTGAGGTCCCGTTTCCCCATTAGTACACGAGTTAACTGCAGACTGATGGAATGTCCTTCAGAGGTTTAGATTCTCCTCTAAACCACTGTGCTGGTTTAAGATTGACATAAATGAGCAGAAAAGCAACCCCAAAACTAATTCAGCTGAACAGCGTTGAGAGGAGCATGGTCAGAACTTCAGGTGTCTGTACCTAATCACAGTCTTTAAGTGCCCAGAGCTGGAGCTGAGAGACTTGAGCCACCAAAGGTGAACAGGGATAACCAGCACCCAAATCAACATTAATGCACGTGCAGGCATTTATTCACCTTGACTTAAAGAGTAACTCTTAAGTGTTACTGGATACTTAACTGTTACAAAAAATGTTATGCATCATTTATCGCAAGAATTTTTAAGTGTTGAATAGTACCCTCAAAATAACCCAACCAACAACAGCACTTCCTTTCTGATGCTCACTTCAGATTTAAGCAAGCTGTAGGAAAATTTAACAATCGCATGTCCGCTCTATATATATTTTTAAAAACTCTTTACTCAAAGACTTATCCTTGTTTCTTAAAGCAGGGCAGAGAATGCTTACACTCACTAATGATCCAGAAACATCACTCATGATTTCCTCTTTAAAACTGTCATTATTTAAGCACTGGTTTGGGGCATTGTGATTATGTATGGCTCTGCATTTTGTATCTTTAAATATATTCAGGACATTGTTGGTTCATTTATTTTCCAGGTTCATAAACCTTCCAATAATATCTGTAGTGACACATTCCAGTTTCTGCATACATCTTCCGTACAATAAAAATGTGTTGCATTTACTAATGGTGTCGGAGAATGAAATTTCTAGAAGTGTTACATTTATTTAAAGCGTATCCGTATTAGGACAGGCATCAATGTGTGTCTTAATTGCATCATTATAAAATCCTGTTAGATCTAATTATGAAAAACAATATACAAGAGCTAGCTACTATTATATTAAACAATATACAAGAGCTAGCTACTATTAAACAATATATAAGAGCTAGCTACTATTAATATGCAAGAGCCAGCTACTATTAAACAATATACAAGAGCTAGCTAACTTAAACTGTTACCAACATCAAGAATTAATTAAAAACGCCAGAAATAGGGAATTAAGTAAAAGCATTGGAAATATGCATTTGTTCTTGCTCTATGATATTTGAGCCACAACTCTTCCTACAGCTTCAATCACCAACAAAAGCCAGGATGCTTTCAGATCTTTTACTCAAAAAATTAACATACACTCTTTCTGTGTCATGTATGTGTTTCGTTTTTTTCCTACTAGTTAGGACTAAACCCAAATTTGTGACAAATAATAGAGATTTCAGATACGGTTTTGTTATACAACTACACACATGAAGCCACCTCTAAACTTGTTTCTGAAGCGTTTGAGAAAATAGTAATCATATCCGCATTGTCGGGATTAACTCCCCAAGGCCAACAGACTCAAATCATCAAGCAGTCGGGGTTGACTTCTGTCCTTCCATGTATGAAGGAAGCAGTAAACGGTAGCACGCAGCAGTGGTCTGCACAGTAAAATTTCTAAGGCCATTTGTAGGAAAAGGAACTTGCCTAGCAGTTGGCAAAGATACACCCTTCCTATGTTGCTGGAAGGGATGACCTTCAAGCAGCACATAAGCTGATAAATCTGTAAATTATGTTGGAATCTCCTAAATAAAAGTCCTCTATTGATTCCATTTTGGACTTCAGTAGGAATGATTTTAACTTGTTTAGCAGTCTTACTGCCAAAGTTCCTTGTGAATCGGTATTGAGGGGTTTGGGAGTCCAGGAAGGCTGGACACTCTTTAAGTAAGAGGTCTTAAAGATGCAGGAGCAGGTCATCCCTGTTAGCCGTAAATCCAGCTGGAGGCACAGATGACCTGCCTGGCTTAACAGGGAGCTTTGGCCTGCACTCAGGGGACAAAAAAGGATTTATGGCCTTTGGAAAAAAGGGCAGGCAACTCACAATGACTACAAAAACATTGTAGGCTATGTAGGAAAAAAATCAGAAGCTCCAAAGCCCAGCTTGAAGTTCATCGTGCCTCTGTGGTTAAGGATAATAAGAAAAGGTTCTATAAATGTATTAATAACAAAAGAAAGGTCAAGGAGAGCCTCCATCCCCTGTTAGATGCAGGCGGACAACTAGCGTCACCAGATGAGGAAAAGGCTGAAGTGCTTAATGACTTCTTTGCCTCAGTCTTTATTAACAGGGACAGTTATACAGAGGGAATCCAACTCTCTAAGCTAGAAGACTGGGAGCAGGAAGACCCCCGGCAATCCAGCAGGAAATGGTCACTGACCTGCTGCAACATTTAGATGTACACAAGTCTATGGGGCCAGATGGTTTGCACCCAAGAGTGCTTCAAGAGCTGGCAGCAGTGATCACTAAGCCACTCTCTGTCATGTACCAGCAGTCCTGGCTGACTGGAGAGGTCCCATCAGATTGGAAGTCAGCTGATGTTACCCCGATGTATAAGAAGAGATGGAAGGACAATCCAGGAAATTACAGACCTGTCAGTTTAACTTTGGTCCTGGGAAAGCTGATGGAGCAGGTCATCCTGAGCTGGATGCAGGACAACCAGGTGATCAGGCCCAGTCAGCACAGGTTCATGAAGGGCAGATCCTGTTTGACTAATCTAATCTCCTTCTATGACAGGGTGACCTGCGTACGGGATGAGGGAAATGCTGTGGGTATTGTCTCTCCTGATTTTAGCAAGGCATTTGACAGTTTTCCACAGCATTCTCCTAGAAAAGCTGGCTGCCCATGGTCTGGACGGGCATATTCTTGCCTGGATTAGGAACTGGTTGGATGGCCGGGTCCAAAGAGTTGTGGTTAATGGAGTTAAATCCAGCTGGTGGCTGGTCACAAGTGGTGTCCCCCAGGGCTCAGTGCTGGGACCACTCCTGTTTAACATCTTTATCGATGACTTGGATGAAGGGATGGAGTGTACCCTTAGTAAGTTTGTAGATGACACAAAACTGGAAGGAAGCGTTGATCTGCTGGAAGGTAGAGAAGCTCTACAGAGAGATTTGGACAGGCTGGATCGCTGGG